TGGTGCTCTGATAACTACAAGACTGTTCCCTGACTTTGGTGCTTTGTTAACTACTAGACAGTTCCCTGACTTTGGTGCTTTGTTAACTACTAGACAGTTCCCTGACTTTGGTGCTTTGTTACCTACTAGACTGTTCCCTGACTTTGGTGCTCTGTTAGCTACTAGACTGTTCCCTGACTTTGGTGCTTGTTAACTACTAGACAGTTCCCTCAATTTGGTGCTCTGTTAACTACCAGACAGTTCCCTGACTTTGGTGCTCTGTTAACTACTAGACTGTTCCCTGACTTTGGTGCTCTGTTAACTACTAGACAGTCCCTTGACTTTGGTGCTCTGTTAACTACTAGACTGTTCCCTGACTTTGGTGCTCTGTTAACTACTAGACAGTTCCTTGACTTTGGTGCTCTGATAACTACTAGACAGTTCCCTCTTTGGTGCTCTGTTAACTACTAGACTGTTCCTGACTTTGGTGCTCTGTTAACTACTAGACAGTTCCCTGACTTTGGTGCTCTGTTAACTACTAGACTGTTCCCTCAATTTGGTGCTTTGTTAACTACTAGACAGTTCTCTCCCTTTGGTGATTTACTTGATTGTCCATTAAAAGTAGTTAAGTTTTGACGATATTTTACCCATTTACTTTACTTCATTGTCCATTAAAAGTAGTTAAGTTTGACGATATTTTACCCATTTACTTTACTTGATTGTCCATTAAAAGTAGTTAAGTTTTGACGATATTTTACCCATTTACTTTACTTGACGATATTTTACCCGTTCATTATTACTCTTTAAAATGTTAAATGTTCTTTAATAAAACTTAATAAAATTTAGTGAAAGAAAAAGAGTTATCATATTTTTTGTGCACCTTTGCATCTGTGGATGTATCTTATTGCCATTTCTTTGGTTTTAACTCACAATTCGATTCCTTTTATACAACAACAGTGTCAGTTTATGTATTTGAATCTAACACTTTCTGACATTGTGTCAACACTTGTTTTATCCTTTTTGTATAAGTTAGCGTAGAACTAGTCATCAAATGTTTGTTTCAAATTACTATAGATTTTTTCTTCATCATATATATATATACATTAACCCTGCAGTGTTTCTTGCGAATTCACTTGTCGAATGTTATCCAACCTAGCAACAAAATTAATCCATTTGAAATTTTGTTACTGTTTTAATTTATTAAAAAAATTCGCAATTCTTACTGTGACTCATGTTTCTAGAATATGTGCTTTATACAGAAGTCATTATATTTTGTTATGTTTCAGATGACCAGGGGGAGACAGAAGAACACGAACCCCCACAAGGTAAGTGTATTATTATTATTATTATTATTGGGTGTATTATTTGTTTGTTTGGAATTAAGCACAAAGCTACACAATGGGCTGTCTGTGCTGTGCCCACCACGGGTATCGAAACCTGGTTTCTAGCGTTGTAAGTCCGTAGACATACCGTTGTGCCACGGGGGGGGGGCTGACTGAATTTATTAAAAACATATTTAATTTTGCTCGATTCATTTGGTGATGAGGGTTAATAACCGAAAAAGGCAGAACGTTGATTGTGTATAAGTAATATCTGTATGGGCTATATATATATATATATATTTCTAAGGTTTTTACTTGTAAGGAAATGGATTAGAGGAAGGTGTAAAAAGAAAATCACACTAGGGTTCACGATTCGCATCCTCGTGCTATAAAAAAAACCCAACTTCAACTCTTCAATCAGACAAAAGCTAGCAATTGACTAGATATCCTCCCTCTAACTTATCAGTTTAAAGCTAGAGGCGGTTGTGGGTGGATAACCGTTGTGTTATTTTGAGCGAAAACGCTAAACAAACGAATAAATCACGAACTCTGACATTGAAAAGCATGTTCAAAATTGATTTGTCACTCGGATGTTATTCTGCTGATGTACATCGCTTGTAATTATCAAAATTATCGTTAACTTAGAACAAAATGGTTAGAATTATCAAACTTGCCAGCTGAGCATCAGTCATACTTATCAGCTAACCGAGCTCCAGAGTGGGTGAACTGTCTAGTAGTTAACTGAGCATCAAAATGGTTAGAATTATCAAACTTGCCAGCTGAGCATCAGTCATACTTATCAGCTAACCGAGCTCCAGAGTGGGTGAGCTGTCTAGTAGTTAACTGAGGTAAATGGGTAAAATATCGTCAAAACTTAACTACTTTTAA